ATTTATGAAGATTCCAGTAGGGTATAGGAGACCCTCAAGGAACAGCAGAGTAACCTGGGGCTACTAGCCATGGACTTGTTACCATCTCTGAGCCAAAAGGGACAAGGGAAGAAAAAATTACTGAAACCCAGAAGGAGAGAGTCATGTGGAGGAGACCATCTCAGAGAAGCAGTGATCTTCAGAGAAGGGGTGTAACTAGTCCAAGGTATTCCCTCTGGGAGGAAACCAGGGAAATAAATACTAAGCCATGTCTTCTCTCCCTTTTCGATGAAGTATGATATTCATTAATGAACTCCGGTTAGGCAGATCCAAGGAATAAACACTTCTTAGTTATTTTCTTGCTTGATCTCCAGCATTTGTCATGACTGACTATTCCCTTCTTCCTAAAAGCCTTGTTTCCTTTGATTTCTGAGACACTCCTCTTTTCAAGGTTTGACGTCTTCCCTCTCTGACTGCTCCTACTCTAGCTCCTTTACGGATTTCTGCTGCTCATCCTACTCTCTAAATGATGGGCTCCCCAGGGGTTTGTTAGCAGCCTATCCTTTCTCCTTGGGTGATCTTGTTCATTCCTCCAACACCACTACCACCTCTTTTTCAACTTTGCCCCTATGCCCATCACTGCTTGACTTAGTTTGCACTTCCTGAGCAGCAGATCCTGAGATAAGGATCTGAATACAAGTTGTTGATTTTGGTGGTGACGCCAGGAAATATCATCAGGGAAGCAGGGAAGTAAGACAGAGCAGAGAACAGAATCAATAAAATGAACATTATCAAGCAAGGTAGCACAGTGGCAAACACTTAGTCTTGCCGGAAACTCCAGGAAATGATGTCAAGTGTGCTCCAGAATGATTCTAGTCAAAGTGCAAATGAGCTGGAGTATTCATACACAACCTCTGAGAGTCACTGCATGAAGACTACTCCCAGGGGGCATTGATTCTGCAGTACGTCTAGCCTTCCACAAACACAGGCAGAGCAGCCTCTGAGGGCAGTGACTAGCAATGGTAAAATGGGCCACCAGGATACACTGAAATGCTAAGGACCAAAGGTATGTGGATGGGACACTGAAAGCATTGGTTATGTTTCCAATTTTCTAGTCCAGATCTTTCTATTTCATCCCACATTCATACATCCAACTACCTCCTTGGACCTCTACTCTACGACTTGCCTACAGGACTCTACCATCTCCCAGTCCCACCCTACCTCACCTGTTTCTCTTTGATTGCAGGGACTGGCATCACCATCCACCCAGCACCCCACATAAGACATCTAACCAGTCATTTGTGTTTTGCCAATGGTTGCCAAGCCTTATTGAACCAACATCTTAAATACCTCTTGTAGCTCTTTCCTCCCACCCCATTGTCTTAGTTTAGGTCCTATTATTTTTTGGCTGAACTATTGCAATAATCTCCTAATTGGCACTTCTGTCTCTATTAACACTTACATATCATGTAATTATCTTGCTAAGAATCCTTACCATTACCTCAGGTCAAGATTCTAAGTCTTTCGTTGAGTGCAATCATCTGTTCCCTCTCTTCATTTCCAGTTTCATCTCTCTTCACGCCTCTGAATACATTATATGAGCCTGCCCACATACATGTTTTAATAGTTTTCTGCACATGACAAAGTCCAGTCTTTACTTATGTTCTTCCTTCTGTCATGTTTGCCATTCTTCATATTACCTACCTGGTCAAATCCTACTCATGTCAAACATCACTTTCTTTGCCATATCGTTCCAGGCATACCAGGAAGACAGACATCTCTTAGGCTGTCCTCCTAAAGCGCTAACAATTACAGGGCAATGATCACCTATCTGTTAGGGTGATAATAAAGGTATCCATGACAATAGTGTAAGTTCTTTATCTGAAGATCAGAACACGCCAGAAGTAATGTAAAAGTACAGAAACTAGTTGACAAGTATAAATTGTTTGTGATAATGCTCAACATTAAATATGAAGACCACAGACCCTTTTTTAAAGAGTTTTCATTTTCGTTCAAGGAGTCCGAGTTACAAACAGTCTCAGCTCTGGGAATCCACTCTGATGGCTCAAGTAAGGCCTTTTTAAAGCAGAACTAGATGACGATGATGATGGTGACAAAGAAGCAGCAGCAGCAGCAGCACTTCGGTGGACTGTATCCACATCTGCCATATATTACCATTAATAAATATAACCTAATCTGATTAACACTCCTGCCCTTCAGCCCTTTAAGGCTGCTGTGCTGCTACATGACCTCTGCTGCTCCAGACTCCTGGCATCCTTATTGACACTGAGGATTCCAGTTCAAGAATAGCATCTCCTACCTCCATCCATGGCCTACAGGGGGCAGCCACTATAGCACTTTCCAAAAATGTTGATACTGTGTTCCCAACATATTTTGCAGTGCTATGATAGAAGAGGTGTCTTCTGGGCCTGCACAGACAAAATACATATGGGGAGAGAGAGCATGACAAATCTATTCCTACATCCCAACCCTCTCAGTTATTAAGTTTCTTTATTTATTTATAAAGAGATTTCTAATAACAGCATCATTTAGTATATGCCACTATTGAGTAAAAATTTTAATCAACCAACTGAGGAAACTGTTAAAAATACTCCCAGCTGTTCCAACCAGCACATTCCATCCAAAATCTAGTAAGAGAAACTATCTCGGAAAAATTCAGCCCAATCTAACATTACACACCTCACTGAGTTAGCACCTCCAGAATCCATTCCCACATTTATTCCTCCAAGTCTTTTGCTGCATAAATTTGCAAAACCCTGCAATTTTATTCTTCCAGATTTGACTTTGCAATTGGCTCCCTGGGATATGCTAGAACACAATTCTTCTCGCCTACAGGCATTAAAGAAAACTGGCACCCACTAGTAAAGCAACAATCTCTAGTGAGACCATTACAAAGTTTTCAAGCATGGCAGGGATAGATTCATCTCCCAGGGGGGCTACTTCTGCTAGCAAGAAAAACTCAGTGGAGTTTGGGGGTCCAACATTCTTATTAAAATCATCTAAATTCTCCCAAAAGTTACCATTCCTATTTCAAGTTTCCTCTCTTTTGTAAACAATACTCTCATGTTCATATAAGAGATCTGGCAAGGCTGTGAATTCCACCTGCAATGCAGTTTCCCAATTTGCAGGATTAGACCTGGGTCTGATTTTCAACTATGTCAGCCCTTTGACAAGAGGTAAGAGGTCCTTGTAGATCAGTTTCAGGAACCAAACCTACATTCACAGCCAAGAATTCAGCCAGAAGACATGTCCAACTTGAGACTGTTCTAACAGAAATTCCACAGTCATTGTCATTCACTATCTGGCTTCTAAGATGGGCTATATTATAGACCCAACCACACAGCTGCCCAGAAGGTCCCATTTCCCTATGCATAACCTCTACCCTACAATATTCCTAACTGCATTCTGAGTTTCATGCAGGGGTATCTTAGAATTGAGGTCATGTGTGGAAACCTCATTAGGGAAATGCAATGTACTTTTTTTTTATACTAAGGGTCTCTTTAACACAGATGACATATTAGAGGAGATTTGGGGAAGGTGCAGAGTGAAACAACTCTAGTATCTGCTAAGGACTAAAAGAGATTATGGGGAAATCCATATGGAAGGAAATGGGAGAAAGACTAGCGGTGGCTACAGATTTTCTATTAAAGAAGAGTTTTGGGGACACTATCTCATTGGAAAGGGTTTTAGGGGATTTGCCTTGAAGCCTAGCAAGCACACTGTTCTTACGTAGTTCAGTTGCTTTTTTCAATGGGCGGCTAGGAGAGCTGATGGCGGTCTAAATCAGACAAATGAAACGAACAACCATACCACCACCAAATGGGAAAGGTGAAATGCTACCAAGATCATTATCCCTACTTCACAGATTGACTTGGGCTGCCTCCGAGTAGCAAAATAAATTTCAAGAAAACCTTTGAATAATGTGTTCTACCATATTGACAAGAGTCCCCCTTTAGTTCTGTGAAAGACAAAAAAAGACAAGTTGTGTTTTTTTTTAAGATTTTGTTTATTTTATTTTATTTTATTTTAGACAGAGGAAAAGGGAGGGAGAAAGAGAGGAAGATAAACATCGATGCGTGGTTGCCTCTAGCACGAACCCTACCAGGGATGGGAGCTGCAACCCAGGCATGTGCCCTGGCTGGGAATCAAACTGGCAACCCTTTGGTTCGCAGACCGGCACTCAAACCACTGAGCCACAGCAGCCAAGGCAAAAGACAAGTTTTTAAAACAAAACTGTGACATGATTTCTGAACAATGAAAACTATGTTAAAAAGCATTTTAAATTCAGATCTTCTAGATAACCTTGGATTTATTATTTCTATATTTATCACATCCAAACCAACACAGACAAGAAGGAACAGTTGTGTTTTCCCTTCTTTATATTGCACTGGTGTGTTTTTTTGTTTGTTTGCCTTTTTGTGTTTTCATCTCCCTAACATAAAACATCCTCTTGTTTTCAAGGTAGCTTTGAGGCAATGAACAATCATATTTATTTTTGTGCAATTCCTAAGAATTCCTTTTTTAATTTTTTTTGCATTAATAACTACTAGGATTCAATGTTCTGAACAAGGTAGGAAGCAGTGGCAAGAGGGGTTCTGGTAGGGGGATAAGGAGGGAATGCCAGGCTTGGCTAGCTGGGCCATGGTCAGAGGTCAAGTGGGAGCTCTTGGGTAGAAGGGCTCTGGAGAGAGAGGGCCTGGGGGTCAGCGGATGGTGTATTGTACACTTCCCTGACCAGATTGAACCCACGACCTTCTGGTCTATGGGACAATGCTTCAACCAACTGAGCCACACCAGCCAGGGCAAGAATTCCTTTTTCATTGCCCCAAGTCTACCTAAGTAGGTAGATAGATACTTCAAAATGTATTTTTTGCATGTATTTCTTTTTTTTAATCAAGCGATTTGGTGAAAATCTTGCATCAGAAATCAAACAGCAAGAACAGAAACAGCTCCTTTCAGAGCCCATTGTGAACTTGTTGAGGGAGAAAAGGCCTGTGCTGCTACACATACATTTTGCAAATCTGCTGGGTTCTCAGTTCATAGCATTCAACTCCCTGGCTCCTCAGCAGCTCCTTCTCTTCTGCTGTATCTCGAGCTCTCAGCTGAGGGAAGTGGGCCGGAGAGGGGATGAAGTCATAGTGCCGGTCCAGGTACCGCAGATAGATGAGCATGTGCAGGGCATAGGCCAGAACCAGCAGCAGGATCAGGGACATGGCCAGGCCGATCAGAACGGCTGGCGAGAAGGAAGAGGCACAGTCTCGGGCCCTGGCAAACTGTCCGCCCTTAATGGAAAAGCCTTGGATCTGTCAGGAGAAAAAGAAGAGCTGAAGTGACATATTCTTTCTCTCCTAGGAGGTACTTTTCAGCTGGGCTGGGGGATCTGGACCCCTAATTAGCCAAATTTAAGATATTGCGTCCATATTTGCTAAATAATTTAAGCACATGATCTAACAAATGTGAGTGTGATTAGAGGACAGTAAAACTTAATTTTCAATCAAGGCTGACCCAGAAACTCCTCTAGGATACATGATTATCATAATTAAGAGGCTCATGAAAGTCAAGGATCTAAAATAAAACATTTATTTTAATGATCTGAAATGAAACTTCTTTTAATCTGATTCTTAGGAATGTTCTCATTCATAAACCACAACTACTGCAGTGTCTCTAATATCCAATCACACTCAAAATTTTATGTGTTCGTATAAATTTCACAAAGAATTTTAAGTCTCAATTCTTCTGCCTTTAGTTCTGTTGACAGAAATTACACTGGAAAACGCTTTTAAGGGGAAATAACATGATTCCCAATTACGTAAAACATAGGAAAAAATAAAAGCTAACTTACTGAAGGTTTTTTTATGTATCAGATGCTGCTTAACTCATTTACTATTTACAGGAGCCTATAAGTTATTACCTTATCTCTATTTTATGGATGGGGAGACTGAGGCATAGAAAAGTAGGCCCAGAGTCACGCAAGAGGAAGTAGAGTAAAGCTACAGTTCAGAGGCAGGCAGTCTGGCTTCGGAGTCCCTTCCCAGTTTACTACCCCTAACCCCTGGTGTGTCCGAGCTCTCCTCCCTCCCATCATCACCTCTCCCTTCTTATCTGCTGTGCCCTACAGACTTGGTACTGTTTCTGGAAGAGCTATATAGCAGCCCCTCCTTACATCCTGCCCAGACAGTACAAAGGAAAGCTTTCCCATATGTGCAAATGAAGTGGTTTAATTAGTTGGAACCCAGAGAGGTTCAAATCAGCAACCTGGCCCTGATATCTAAATACTGTCACAATGAAAGAAACAAGGCTACAGAGTAATTACTTTAAACAGAGCAATCATTTGTGAAAGGCAGTCTCTACATTTAGCTGGCTTTTAGAATATAACCCTACGCTGTGTCACTTCACTTAGACACCTAGTTAATTTTTTAAAAGTACATCAGAAAATTGAATTATCCATGAGTGCTTTCCTGAGAATGCATTTGAATGACTTAAGTGGGCACAGTAGCATTTTCCCTGCTAAAATGATTGCAGCCTCTCATCATGCCACAGGCTTAAGGGGCCTTGCTCGCCCAATCGTCTGTGCGCTAGAGTGAATCCAAACCAGCTTCTGCAGGAGATTCTTGGCCTGGCTTCTGGGATCCTTGGCCTGCCCTCTCTATGAAGAGGTAAAGTGGCCTAGTCTTCAGATCAGTGTCTGAAGAGTCCAACTCCCCAAATACCAAAACTGGCCTCATTTGATGCTACAACTCCAGGCAAAGAGAGTGTCCTCACACTGACTGCCCTGTAATTCTTAACAAGGCTTGTTGAGTCCAACAGTATCTATGGAGAGCACCTGCATGTTGTCCACCCATTTTCTGAACTACAGATCTCAAGCGCTGTGTATCTAGCCCACTGTTGAGTTTTGTTTGGGCAAGAGTTCTGAACATCCTGAAAATTTCCCATAGGAATCCAGATATCCAGCTTCCACTGAAAAGTCAAAAGATCTAGCAACACTCGGTCTACACTCCTACAGAGCAAAATTTATCTGTAATTGAATAAAATAGCTCTTTGTGACCCTGGCTACCCTTTGCCACCATTGCCAGCTGGCCTACCTGAGGCGTCTATACTTTATTCCTAGAACGCGGCAGATCAGCAAAGCTGCATGTGTGCGTCGCAGCCTTCTGCACGCACCCCTCAGCCGCCATCACCAGCATCGCCCCTCCCTGGATTGCCTTGCATTCTGCCACATGCCTCCACGAAGGGTTTTTCAACAACACCCAATGCTGTGTTCGCCATATGGCTGCTGTCCAAACTGTTGGCACCTGTTGCACAACACCAGGGATCGACATACTGCTCATCTATCCCTGAAAATGTTCACACACATTTTCGGGAGTTTTATGGACTCCATGAACTGGGTGACTCTTTCTTATGCTGGCTGCTCCAAAGCTTCAGAGCCAAATTACTGAGCGCCTCCAGCCAGGGTGGACAGACGGTCTTCTGGTTTTGTGTACCAGCCTCACCAGATCTAACTGATCCTTTCTTCCTTTATTTTTCTTAACCCTTATGTCTTTACCCATTTTGCAAAGTTATTTTTCCTGTAGTATGGCTCTAAGTCACCTTAAGTCATGTCTGGAACAAGGCAGAGGCATAAATCAGTCACTTCTTCTGTTCTAATTAGGTAAGATTCTGTGTGAGTTATTCCTTATTTTCATTATTACCATCTCATTGCTCTTTCTTTCCACTTCTTTATTTAAGAGGTAAGAGGGAAAGAGAAAAAATATATATATATGTACACACACACACACACACACACACACACACACACGCACACACACACATATGTGTATTAAAGAGTCTTTAGAGCCTGACCGTCCAGGGTTCAAATCTGCCTCTACCATTTACCAGTTATATCATTTTGAAAACTTACATAATCATCGTTGCTCCAGTCACCTCATCTGAAAACCAACTGCAACAGTGCTGACACACAGAGGGGACTCATAAGCAGCAGTCATTGTTAATCCAGGCCTGACAGGGTCCTGGGGTTGCCGCCTATATTAGGCAATGTATTCTTTACATCCATAAAGATAGGTAGGAAATTGAGAAGGAGAAGTAACTTGCCCAGGTGGCTGAGATGTAATTGGAAACTGGTGCTGTTGGGCTACAGCATGCAAGCTCCTTCCCTACCCCAAGCTGCCTCTCACCTCTCCAAGGCCAGGGAGGGGAGGTTGTAAATATATATACAGGGTCCAGCAGAAGTGTGGTTGGTGGGGTACGTGAATATCTCGCATGAGATGGACAGCAATCTGAACATTTCACCTAAAATGGCATATGGCATGTTTGAGTGTGATGTTGTTATAGAATTGCATGCTATGATTCGGTAATAAAAGATTTTGTAATAAAAAGTAGGCATTATTTCTACCAGACCCTGAATGTATGTGTGTATATAAATTTATATATATATAAAATTTTCCCATATATATGGGAAATTTTCCCTATATATATAGGGAAGACTGGAAAATGCCCATAAAAGGGACAATACTGCCTGGTATTTCAGTGAGTTGCAAGAACAAGTCAAAGTTTTTCTCACAGGTAAACAGAAGAACTTGACAGGTGTCTCTCAGCCTGAGGTTCTGGTGGGGAAAAGGAACTTCTTTGCCCCCATGCCTTTCCCCAAATACTTTCAAGAGGATCTCTGAGGTATTTTTGACTCGCTGGCTGACAGCGCCATTCCTACGCTAGCTGCCAAAGCTGTCGCTCGGGCTGCAGATGTACTTCTTATCTGCCCTGATAGGATCACTGCTCCACTCCCTGAAGGAAATAAAATAATTGTTTGATAATCCTCTCCCTAGAAGGGCCTCTCACTCCAGGAAGTGTCAGTCACTGGGCTTCAGGCCACAACTTTACTCGGGCTTAGGTTGCTGGCATTCCTCCCTGATAATTTACTAGTGAGCGGATAAAGCTGAATGGAAACTGAAGAGGGCTGGCGGTCTGTAGGGAGAGGAGATACTCTATCCTGTCTCACACCTTAGAGGATAAAACAAACAAACAAACAAACAAAAAACAAACTTCTTTAAAGGTGTCCACTCATCTCTTTCCCTTAAACACCTATGTTTCTATTTCAGATGTTTTCAAACAAACACTGAGTTTCTTTGGCACCAAATACACAAGAGGATATGTTTCAGTTTATTACCTGGAAATCAACAAAAGTGACCTCCCACAGGCTTGACGGGTCATCCAGGTCGCTGGGCAACAGGAGGGCGTCAGACTGCTGTACACTGCTGACACGCTGGCAGTGATAGGAATAACTTGAAGGAGCGTATATACCAGTTGCATTAAAAGTTGCTTGGATTGAATTATTAAAAATAATTTCAATTCGGTGCAAACTAAACCAGCTCTGCCTGGAAAACTTGTTGTAATTGGTAAGGGTGAATCTGAAAATAATTATAAAACAGCATTACCCCAAAGCATTGTTGCTTATGCTGACACAGGACATCATCTATAAACAGTATAATCGCGCCCTCTTTTGTCAGAGAGTAGAACTGGCTCGAAGGCAGCCTTTCATTGTGGTTCTGAACAAGAGCTTCCAGCGGGATGGGAATGAAAGCAAAAGACCAGGCAGCCCCCAAAAGTAAGCAATACAATTCCTACAAAAGGAAAAACACAAAAAACTTAGGTTTTTTCTGTTTTAGAATCAACACAATTTTGTTATTGCAAAAAGATTGAGAAAAATTTCAGTGGACATCAATATGGAATTACCTGAATAAATAATGGTCAAAATTAATAGCAATGGCTCTTACTATGTGTCAAGCACTCGTCTATGTTTTTCTATGTATGTTTTATTAAATTTCCACCACAATGCAAAAGATATATATTAGTATCCTCATTTCACAAATGAGGAATCTAAGACACAGAAGGGTTAAATATATAGCTTGCACAAGTTCACTCACAGGGCAAAATATTGGAGCTAGGCTTTGAATCCAATCTGGAGACCAGAGCCCTCATTCTCAGCCATTTTAGAATTGAATATTTTACAGCCATAGACATATTATAATGTACATATGCTATGATCATTTTTCTCACCTAAAAAAAAAAATGTGTGACGGCATAGAAAAAAAATCTGGAAAGACAGAGATCAAAATGTTAATAGCGATTACAAATGGCAGTTGAGTTATGGGTGGTTTTCATTACATTCTTTTGATAGCTCAGTATTTTCTGAATTTTCTGTTTTCAGTTGACATGTATTGCCTTGTCTTAGTTTGAGCTCCTACAGAAGCAGATCCTGAGACAAGAATATAAATATAAGAGGTATTTTTGGAAGTTGATCCCAAATTTGGTCGTTTAATCATTAAAAATATGTAGAATGGAGAGAAGAGAAATAACAAAAGAACAGAAGGTAGCCAAATAGGACACATTAAGCGAGTTCCCACTCTGGGAAGATATGAGTTAATGCCCACGGGGAACCCTGGAAGCCAGAGTAGAACCAAGCCTCTGAGCTATCTCACAGAGGAGAGGGAGCTGGGATATTTCTACACCTCTCTTGGTCACTGGTTGAGGGCTTCTGGGGTAGGTATAGGAGGCAGCGGGTCTGACTGGCCAGAGACTTTCAAAGAAAGACGCAATTGAAAGTTGAACGGGCGGACTACGTTGGTCTCCAGTGGAAACGCCCAAGATATATGTGAGAGCTGGCAGTGTCTGCATACACCTTTATTATCAGAAAAAAAATAACCATAAGCTATTTTTCCTTTAGGAAAAAAGTATGATTTGAATAAAAAATATTTATTTCTATATCAAATGGATACATATATGTGTTTGGTCACATTGCAGAATTTTATTTTTCTTACAGAGTTTCTCTGAAAGGTAATTGCATGCATTTTCTCAATGATTAGCAGTGAAACACTGGAGTTCCATTGCAGGTAGGCAAGTGTTCTGTGGAGTTTAACATGGTAAACAGTAGGTTAATCAAAGGTGCCAAGTACAACAATCTTCCTGCAGAGCTTGTCTTCACAGAAGCCTTAATACACAAATTGCCACTGCGAATCTCCAAGAGGAACACATGGTATGCAGTCTTCCTCAAGCATGTTTGACCACAGAATGCCTCTTCCGGGGAATCCTCTACATGTTGTCAGAGAGCAGAAGTAGTTCCTAGAACACAGCTTAGGCAGGACTGCCTTCACACATTCTGCTGGTTTTTCAAGTAATGTTAAAGACACAGCTGCTATCTCCTCTAAAAGGTTGATCTTATGGGAATGGAAACATTTTTATAAGAAAAATATGTAATGCCTTAAAATTGCCACCCTCTACCCTTCCTTAGAGCAGTCCCTAACAGCCTGGATAAAGCATCTTTGGCAGATGCAAACGTCCATACAGAAACACAGAAAAATGTCAGCTTGAGTAAACTCTCTGCTAAGGGTTTCAGCTAACAGACACTTTTTCATTATCATTAAATTATGTGTGATTCATTGTAAGGAGCTCTGCAGAAAATAACTTCAGACCAGAGCCTTAGCCCTTGGAGCTTTAAATATATTTTATTCTTTGCCCAGAGGAAAAGGGTAACACATTCTCACATTCATGTATTCATGTGTACTCTAGGTCCCTACATGAGGAAACTACAGATGCTTTAGTAAAAACTAAAGAATTACTTTAAGATCCCATCACATAACACCACTGACTTTTCAGTGTAATTAAGTAGATGTGACATTTCACATGTCACTGCTTAGCACGTAGCAGGCCCTTGGTACGGACATATCGAATAAATAAATTACACTGTATATGGAGCGAATATGAAGTGCTGAACCTATGGAATTCCAAAGTGGTATCCATACCTACCTGATATCAAGGCCTTTGGGATTTTCAGCATCGTCAAATTTCAGAGACAACCTAAGAACACAGAAACAACACAATCCCTCAAAGTAGGAATAACCTTAACTTCACATTATCCTCAAAAATTACCTCAAAATGAATCATGGACCTTAATGTAAGAACTAAAACTAAAAAACTTATTAATGAAACATAGAACAATATTTTTGCAACCTTTTAGGCAGGCAATGGTTTCTTGAAAAAACATAAAAGTATGAACCATAAGAAAATCAATAAATTGAACTTTATTAAATTCAAAAAACTTTGCTCTTCAAAAGACACCATTAAGAAAACAAAAAAAAGGCAAGGCATAAAAATGGAATAAAATGTTTACAACACATACACATAGGGCATTTGCATCAGGAATACAACAAAGAGTATTAGCAATTCAATAATAAGACAACCTGTGCAGCAAAAAAGGGGGGCTCTACTGAAAGTAACCTCGCAGAGTGATCTGATCATAAGTTTCTAACTGGACAGGTCTTGGTGGGTAGTCACACCCCAGGTATATAACTTGTTATTAAAAGGTTTATCTTGACCTTCAGTAAGCCCAGTCCATTGTTTCTGTGCATCTAGGTTAACACATCTTTTAAATAAGTGTAATGACCCTCAAGAGAGCACATAATCTTATTAACTATCCTGTAATTCAATCCCCCTACATGCAAATGGCCAAAAAGTACATGAAAAGGTGCCCAGTATCTTTAGTCATCAGGAAAATATAAAGTAAAACCACCATAAGATATCATGGTACAGTAATCAGAATGGCTCAAACTTTTTAAAAAATACCTACTCTTAAGTTTTTAATAGTGTTACTGAACAGCAAGTGGGGTCCTGCTGCCCGCCACCACCCTCTAGACAAAAATCTGGAGGCAAAGGTTTGGTGATAAAGAAAGGAGTCTGTATCCAAAAGCTACACAACATTGGAATAACAGCTTTCCATAGGCATTAGTCACGTAAGCCTATCAATTAAGTCTAAAAATCTTTAACTATCAAGTCACAGCTTTAATCACTTAAGTCTATCAATTAAGGCTAAACTCTTTAACTCCTGAGTTCCCCTATTGTTTCTCCTATTAATTTTTAATTATCTTATTTCTATAGGATTAGTTTACAAACAAAAACAACATAAGATGAAAAAGCTACACAATTGTAGAGGAATGGCAGGCTTCTGCCACAGAGCCTGTCCCCTCTAGAGCACCCAGAGAAGAATAACCCTCCACCCTCTGCCAGGCCGGCTGGATCCTAGGCTGAACCTGGAGTTTCTTTTCCCATCCAAAATACCGTCGTTTAGGAAATGCAGGCAGCTGCAGCATGATCATCCCGGCACTCTCGAGGAAGAGGGCCCGAGAGCCAGTCTCTGCCCTCCTTTTATTTTAAAACCCCTGGTCCATACTTCCAAGCGCTCTGGACGCATTTAGCTTCTCAGCCAATCCCATCCTAGACTGCTTACCATTGCCTCGGGCAACCTCCTCCTACGGCCTCTCCCTACTCCTCCCCAGTGAACTGATCAGATCTCTCTATATCAATATCTATATTTATTCACATTTTCCTGAAATTTAACATGAGATTTTCTGGAGCAGAGACAACTTCTTACTTACCCATAGCAATAAACACATTGGTTCCCTTTTAACCCAGCCCTTCCCCCTGATGAGAGCCAGATGTCCTCCTGTACAGGCTGGGATTTATGGTACATGTGAGGGACAGCAGAATTATTAAGACCAGCTAGTAAACTAGGACAAGTGAAATAGGAAAACGGAAACAGATAGTTAAATGGCCAGTTTACAGCCATCTAGTAAATCGCAAAATCCCATCTTCCATAACCAAGGACACTTACAGGTCTCTCCTATCAGGGGGTAAATTGCTTAAATCACTCTCCTCTGGGAAACAGATAACAAAAATACAGTTAGTGCCATTTGCGCCAACCACACCCAAGGATGGATGAAGTAAAGGGAATAAATCCCATTTGGGTGCATCAGCATAAAGCCGATGAATATTGTATTGAGATCCTCCCCTAAGACCTCCCCTAAACTCTCAGACTTTAAAACCCTCAAGACAAAGGTCCCAGGGTGTTCTCTCCATCCCAGGGGCATGCCCACACCTTTCTTCCCTCTCAGGGGTGCATCTCCTAAACTCTAAGCGTCCCCACTAGACTTGCAACCACGGGGGCAATGGGCAGCAGCACCTCAACCTGGCTAATCCCTGAACCCACCTCTTAGGCCCCTTTTTCTCTGACTTCCCAATGAGTCAAAGCAGCCCAGCCTAAACTCTCCTGTTGCTTCTTCTATCCTAAGCCTTTCCTTGTTTCGCTGTCCCCAGCTTTATTAACATATTCTCAAAATCACCTGGACTCGTGCTGTGAAATCTTTCTGTATGAAGTCAAGAACCCACACACTACCATCCAACCTGAGGAAGACCCATTCCAGGCCTGGTTCCTGTCTGGTAACAAGGATCTGGGAGTTTATATAGGGGAGAGGCAGCAGTTCCACAACACCTCCGAGAGAAGAGAGACACATTTGCTTCCTTAGCGTCAAAAATTTTCCTCAGTAATGGGGACAGACTCATAGATGGAGAGCAGGATGACAGCTCATGAGGGGTGGGAGTTAGGGGGGGATGGGACTGAGCAAAAAGGAAAAAGGACTCAGGGACATGAATAACAGTATGTTGATTGCTGGGGGGGGGGGGGGCGTACGGTTTAGGGGAACAAATGGTAATGGAAAAAAATACAATAAAGTTTAAATCAAAAAATTTTCCTTGAAAAGAGAAGGGGGAAGAATCCTGGGTACCTACCTGAGACTGTAAGCATGTGAGTTTCATTAGCCTGTGGATGGGAGCTAATAGTTCACCACAATAGAGACGAATGGCTGCTCGTCTAACACCATGGTAAGTAAACATATGTCTCCAAGAGGAAGATGAGAAGCCTCTCTAGGTTTCCAAGCCCTGGAATGTCCCCACAGTCTTGAGCTCATTATTGCCTGGCATGTAAACACTTTCATCTGGAAAAAGTCTCTTACTTAGCTCCCAGACTTATCTTTTAACCCAGGTCCCAGTGAAAGGTGTTCAGGAATTACTAACCATGTGGAAACAAAAGTAGTTTCTCTATAGCCCACATTGACCGTACCAAGTGTCGGTGAGGATATGAAGCTACTGGAACTCTCCTATGATGATGGTGGAAAAGGAAATGGTACAAGCACTTTTTCAAAGTTTGGCAGTTTCTTAAAAAACTAAACATACTTCCCTGGCTGGTGTGGCTCAGTGGACTGAGTGCCAGCCTGAGAACAATAGGGTCACCAGTTCGATTCCCAGTGTAGGGCATATGTCTAGGTTGTAGGCCAGGTCCCCAGTAGGGGGGCACGTGAGATGAAACCACACATTGATGTTTCTCTCTCTCTTTCTCCCTCCTCTCCCCTCTCTAAAAATAAATAAATAAGATCTTTAAAAAAAAAAGAAAAAGGAAGACTGGAGGAGATAAGAATAAAAGTAAAAAAACTAAACATATACCTACAATATGTTCCAGCCAAACCACTCCTAGGTATTTATCTAAGAGAAATGACATAGGTGTTCCTACAAAGATACACATGACTGTTTATTGAAACTTTATTTGGAAAGTTATCTAAAAAGTGCAGGAAAAAAATAAATTTCCATCAAGAGGTGGATGGTATAAAAAAGTTGCGGTATATGCATACAATGGAGTACTTACTACTGAACAATAAAAAAGAACTTACCCATGATATGTGCAACAGCATAGGAGAATATCAAAATTGTCATGCTAAAATGGAAGGAAGCAAACTAAAAAAATGTAAACTATATGATTATATTTATAAAAAATTTCAAAAAGTACACACTAATCTATAATGGCAGACAGCAGTTCAGCGGTTACCCGGCAAGGTGGCAGGGGCAGGAGGGATGGTTCACCAAGGAGCCCTGGGAACTCTTAGAGGTGATGTAAATGGAGGTGGCTTCATAGGTGGACACATCTGTCAGAGCTGATTAAATTGTACACTTGAAGTGCTGTTTAGTGTGTTTCATTTACATTTCAATAGGTTAAAAATGGGAATGATTAAATAAATAATGAAAAGGGGAAAATTATCAAAAATTTAAATGCACAAAGGACGACAATTGTATGTGACATTATAACATACAGAAGTTATAACATCTCAGTATGTATTATAAGACCAAAAAAGCAAAAGCACATAGTTATAAAATGTCCAAATAGAAGTTTTAAAAATACCAAGTATATAATGAGATATATAACCTCATTAATTTGGTTCTACTTATCAGGAAATAAAAATGTCAGTGATTGAACTGAAGTTTATTTTAATACTATTTATGGAAAAAAAGAATGGGGTATTTAAAATACACTTTATAAATAAGATTGCTAAGAGAAATATTTTTATTTTCTAACATCATTAGCTTAGCCACCTTAGATACACTCATTACCAAACACATTATAAGTGGATTTACTCAGTAAAGCAAGTTTTCAGCAATATTTTGATAATCTGTTACAAATTACTGAAAATATTTTTAAAAACTAAAATGCATTTCTTGAATGAACTTTATAGATTTGACTGGCCACTTATTCTAACAGAAATTTCATGATCTAACAAAGAACCTAAAAGAGGAGGCTAGAAACCAAAGGGAGGCGTGTCTCACCAGTTAGCTCAGCAGTCCTGAGCCCGGTCTAACGAGACCGCCCAGCGTTCCAAACGTCAAAACCATGACAGCACAGGACGAGGGGAGCCCTTGAAATCTGTGTGTCTCACTAATTGGGAAGAAACTTTGTGACTGTCCCAAGGTCTGGAAGTGAGAGGATGAGGGGGAACCTAGAAACTGACTAAAATATATAACCTAACCCCTGCACCCCAAGTCAGCGCACTCAGATTATCTGTGCACTTGTGCACTTGTAACCAGGTGCTCAAGTGTATAAAACACCTCACTAACAACTTTATTTCCACCATACGTGGGATTCTGAGTAGCCAGGTGCCTACCTGCATATTTGTGCTCATGTGTTTTCATAAACTTGCTAT